CTAACATAACTACAATATATTTAGGAAGTTGTCTTTCATCTCCTTGGAGTAAGACAGTGTCTTGTTCCTCTTTGCTGCTAATGCCTGTTGCAGAACATTACTCATCATACACGACTTACTATGGGAGTTTAGCAGAGGGAGAGTGTGTGCTTTGGGCTCCTAGGAAGTAATCTGTCTTATTTTTTTAAAAAAATTTACAGAGAAGGAGTTCTGTAACATTTCTAGATAATGTATTCTCACATTTCATATTTCTTTTTTTTTTAAGTGTTTTATTTATTTCTAGGAGAGAGAGAGAGAGAGAGAGAGAAAGCGTGAGTAAGGGAGGATCAGAGTGAGAGGGAGTCACAGACTGAAACAGGCTCCAGGCTCTGAGCTGGCTGTCAGCACAGAGCCCGACGTGGGGCTCGAACCCACGAACCGCGAGATCATGACCTAAGCGAAAGTCGGACGCTTAACCGAATAAGCCACCCAGGTGCCCCTCACATTCATATTTCTTTAGGAAGTTAGAGAATTCGTAATGTGAATTCTGTTCCTACAAATGAACTGAGGTGCTTATTGTCCTGGCCTTGGTGGAAGCAGAAGAAAGTTAAGCACCTTTCTTCACATATATACTTTGAAATATTTAAAACCAAGTGCCCTCACTATTTCATCATATATGCTTTATCCTCAAATACCAACTGCAGTAGCCTCATCTTTTGTCATTTATATAGACAGATGGTCTAGGAATCAAATGTCAATTCCTCGCATCCCATTACACACAAGAAAAAATAAATAACTACAGTAAATTAACAAAAATAACAGTATGTGATAACAGCATGATTTAACAACACTGTCTCTTAAGACAGGCATTACTTTTGTCCATAAACACAACCTAAGGAGGGACTGTGATTCTCATAAACTGATTATAAAGTCTGTCAGGGTAGATATTGCATAAACAATGACTTTTTGGTTTCCTATGGAAAGGGCTTTAGCCACAAATCTAAAAAGAACCCTGACAGGAAGTCAGAAGCACCACTAACAAATTGTCTAGCATTCCACTTCTGGACTAGTGGATGCTAGAGGCTTAGAGAAACCAGCAAGAACCCTGTTGCTAAGAACTTCAATGGACCAGGAACAAACGCTGTTTAATGCAAAACAAAGGGCTTGCTACAAAAGCAGAAGAGTTCTACTCATTGATGCAGTTGAAAAGAGACCTTTGGGTCCTACATCATAAACACTTACTTAGAGGACATCAACTTTGACTTTGTGTATTGATAAGGTGGGGATATAACTTAGGGAATTTTGTAAGTAATGAATATTTACAAGATCACTTAAAAAAAGCATTCTGGTTTTTATTTGGTTGTCTTCATCTTAGCAACCTTGCTCTTCAGGTGAAAAGCTTTCCATAAATGCCTGGTGCTATAAAATAAATAGAGTGAAGTTTGAAGTATGGTGTGTTCCACTTATACAATTTTCAGTGAAGCCTAAGAGTCAAGATAGCATATTGAAATAAACAGACTATATTTATACTTGGCAAACCTTGTTTTGGAAATTCACTTTGTTAATTTCCCTATACAGAAAATTAGACTGAGAAGTCACACCCTTATAAAACTTCCAAGAATTTTGGGGCTCATGGATGGCTTAGTCAGATCTCAGAGCTAAGATCAAGGTATAAAAGCTAATAATGAAATTAAAGACATCAAAAAGTAAGTGTAAAAGAGTGGTAGATACTTTGGATTGCTATCCTCCTGAATGTGATTTTGCAGTTTTTCTGACCATTTAATACAAGATTTAGCCAATTTTTCTCAGCCACCTTCATGTGACCTAGTTGAGAGCTGAGAGGTGATAGGTAAGCAATGCAGAGAACACAGAGTGATTGCATCTTCTTGCCACATTCCAGCTTATCAAACATAATTTCAGAAGTTTCCAGCTGCATCTGAAACACCTTTTGAAGGAAAAATTGGTCCATGTTTCTGAAATCTCCTATCCTGCCTGTCCCACTAGGTAAAATGATCATATTATTTGCAGTACCTCATTTTCTCAACTTTTTTCTCCACCAATGACAAATATGCTAAGTATCATGGGAATACCTTATGCTTGATTTATCACATTTTACATCTTTAAAGCTCCATATTCATGTTACAAATACAAAGAAATATTTCTGTAGTAAAGCAAAATGCTTCACAGTGCACATTTACTGTTTGAGAAACCAAACCATAAACCAGAAATTTCAAGGCAGTAAAACAATTTGAGACAACCATTCTATTTAGCTGAATGGTATGCAGCTATTTCAGAGAGCACCCCCTAAATTCAGTGCCTTGCACAGAAAAGGCACAGCAATAACACATTTTTGAATGATTGTTTATTTCATATATTTGGAAATAACAAGGTAAAACCAATAGTGTGCTGGAAAACCAACTACCTGAGAAAATAAATTAAAAAAAAATAAAAGCTGTGGTTTCTGGTGTTTCCCTGTTTCTGTGGTGTAAACGCTCCCCCTATGGCCTATTTCAATTACCAAAGTGATGTCACTGAACACAGAGGACGGAAGAGATGTGCACAATATTCTCTTGTAGGCTCGTGCAAAGTAGCTGCAGTATCTACAGGTTAGCTCCTTGGCTTGTTTTCATAGGGTTTGATAAAAGAAAATCATGGCACTAGCTTTCCTCTTGGTTAATCAGCTGATTTGATTCTGATGGAAACTGGATGGGTCTTTTTTCTCAGTAACAATAACAAGTTGTTCCTTTTTTCCGGTGGGTTACCTGCAGAAGAAGTTTGTAAGAATGACTCCCCAGGAGTCCCCATGCTTTTGATAGCAAATAAAATCTAACAAAGTCCTTGTGGATTTTCCTGAAGTTAAAAAAGCAATCTCTTTAACAAGGGCCACCTACTTTGGGCCTGGGAGCTGTTAAGCATGCCTTGAAGAATCCTTATTCTTAGTCACTGCTCTACAATTGAAAAGGAAAGCCTTAGGCAAAGCACTCTTTTGGCAACATGGTATATTAAGTCTTAGAATTTCTAAAATCTTTCCAATCCCCCATAATGCTGAATTACTTTTGAACTCAAGAAATTTAGTGCATGGGAGAACTACAAAAACCTTGGGGATAGTTTCACTATGGTTGAAACAATAATTCATTATAGAACTTTAAAAGACAAGACTCTCTGCTTGTTTTTTTTTTTTTTTAATTAATTCATGTGCCTTTACATTTTGTGGTAAAAGTAGAAATTCTTTCACTTAATGAAGAATGAAAGTGACATCCCATAGGTTATTGAAAATATTTTAAGAGTGCTTGGTTGGCTCAGTCAGTTAACCCTCTGGCTCTTGATTTGAGCTCAGGTCATGATCTCACAGTTTATGAGTTCAAGCCCCACAATGGGCTCTGTACTCTCAGCGTGGAGCCTGCTTGGGATTCTCTCTCACTCTCCCTCTGCCCTTCCCCGAGTTGCAATGTCTTCTCTTTCTCTCAAAATAAACAAACTTTTTAAAAATAGTATTTTAATAAAACAATGGCAGTCATCATCTGTTTCATATCTACTATGCCTTAGACATTTCACATTTAACATTTTGGTCAATACTCTTAATGTTACTTCTGTTTCATAGATGAGGTAAATGAGACTGAAATTGAAAGCTATGCATGAGGTCAAGAGATAATAAATTAGAGAGCAGGAGTTGGATCACAAGTCAGGTTTTCTCCAAAGTTATTTCCTGACATGTATGAATTCAGTTATTCCACACATGTTTATTGAGTACCCCTTATGAGTCAGGCAGTCTTGGCTTTGGGGATTGAACAGGGAACAACACAAGTACAAACTCCAGCTCTTCTCAATGCACATTTCAGCCTGTAGGGCAGTCAATGAAAATATAAGTTGAATAAAATAATATTAAATAAATATTATTTGGATGTGTCAAGCTTTGTAGGAAAATATAAATTAAGGAAAGAAAAAGTAGTACTGGTGTGGAAGTGCTTTACGGTTTTAAATCGATAGTCAGAGAAGACATCACTAAGAAGGTAAGAAAATCCAAAAGGAGGTGAGAGACGGAGGCATGCAGATATCCAGGTGCAAAGATTTTCAGGTAGAAGAAACAAGTGGAGAGTCCGTGAAGTGAGAGCACGCTTAGTGTATTTGAGGAACACCAAAGTCTATAGAGTAGTTAAGAAGAACAAGCAAGGGAGAAAGTGATGGAATTGAGGTAACAGAATGAGTTAGGAGGCTAGATTCCTCTAGCTTCTGTGGTGCGTATAGACTGAAGAGAGGTGAGTGAGGGTAGCAGAGAGAATAATGAATAGGCTATGATAATCATGTGAAAGATGATAGTTTCTTACACCATGATGATAGAGGTGCAAGTGGTAAGAATCAATTGGATTCTGATTATGTTTTGAGTGCATATAATTTGTGAGATGATTAAAGGTAGGTTGTTAAAGAAAAGGATTAAGAATAATGCTAATTTGGGGGGTTTTAGTGAAATGAGCAGGACAATGGAAAGAGAGACTCAAGGTGGATGATGAGCTTGTTTTTAAATGTGGTAAGTTAAAGATGGAAGAGATGCAGGACTAAAATAGTACTACCTAAATTGAAAGTATAATTATAAGTTTCAATAAGTTAATCTCTATGAAAGGACTATAAATGTTGCTTAAGTCTTATTCTTTATCCTTTTCTCAGTAGGATAATATAAATATGTCAAGTCTAAGATTTAGAGACTGGCTATTCTAGGATCGGTGGACTTTGGGCAACTTATTTCATATGCAGAGGAGGTGTTGTTGTTGTTTTATTTTGGCTTAAAAAATCAGAGCAAGATGATGTGTGCTTGTGAATACAAAGTTTCTCATGATAAAAAGAGTCGAGAGATAAAGATAATCTGAGGTGATCTTTTTTTTTAATATTTTATTTATTTCTGAGAGAGAGAGGCAGCGTGAGCAGGGGAGGGTCAGAGAGAGAGGGAGACACAGAACTCAAAATAGGCTCCAAGCTCTGAGCTAGCTGCCAGCACAGAGCCCGACACGGAACTCGAACCCACGAACCATGAGATCATGACCTGAGCCAAAGTCGGACACTTAACCAACTGAGCCACCCAGGTGCCCCAAAATGGGGTGATCTTGCTGAAGCTATTTTTTAAAAACCTAAAGGGGTGCCTGGTGGCTCATTTGGTTAAGCATCCGACTCCTGATTTCATTTCAGGTCATGATCGCAGTTTGTGAGATCAAGCCCCACATGGGTCTCTACACTGACAGTGTAGAACCTGCTTGGGATTCTCTCTTTGCCCCTCCTCTGCTCCTCTCCTGCTTTCTCTTTCTCTCAAAATATAAATAAATAACTTAAAAAAAAACTTTAGAGTTAAGAGCATAAACTGAAGAATCTGGTGACGGAAAGAGTAATTGACTTGGAATATGGGCCATTTTGCTCTGGCAGTCCAGACGCTGATATCAGATGCAGGGTTAAGGAAGTTCTTCTACCTGAAACACCAGTGTGACATTGTCCATGAAAGCTATACAAAGGCTATGAAAAGAAGATTGTGCCTTAGAACAATATTCTAAATGTGCCAACTGCCAAATGGAGGTTGTTGTACAACATCTTGACCAAGTAGAGAGTGATAGACATGCCCCAAGCAAAGCATGGCCCAAGACATCCTTGGGGGCTCATTTTCTTTACTGTCTGTTTGGAGATGCCAAAGGTGATTCCTGTTATATGTCCTAGACTACAGCCACCTCTCCATGCAACTCTGGTGTGCTGAACAGTGACCTGCTCATCTGGAGGCATTAGGGACTTCTGTGAGAATTTTGACAGTTAAATTCCAGTGTCACTTCTCTATCCTGAGGCAGTTCCTTATATGCTATTTTGTGACTTTCTTATGCTTTAGGAAATTAGTTGGTTTTTCTAAACTTTGAGATGCTGTTAACCTATGCTGTTACCTATGTTATATATGAATTGTATTCATAATTCATCTTAAAATGATAATGTTTTCCCTGGTCTAATGTTACTTGTTCTTTCTGTAGAAAGGATTTGATGCTTCCCACCTGCCCTTCCCTTACGCAAGAGCCATGTTCCTTGAGCTGAATGTCTCGAGCTCCTGCAGTGTAATCTGCTTCAGGCATCCCAAGGACCACTTTTCCACAAGGCATAGAAACATCTTAGCAGTTGGCTGCTGAAATAGATGTCTTGTTGGAGAGTAGTACCTCCTTGGATTTACACACACAACTAGTTGAGCAGTGAGCACAGGTATTAATCAGTATGCTTTACCTAGAGGCAGGGTCACACTAGATTCTACTAGCTATCCCAAGGCCTAGAGTGTCAATGTTTTGCTGCTAATCTGTGCTACAGCACACCGAACCAGGCATATTCTCCTTTTCTCACATCTACTTTTCACCCATTTGTTGTTTCTTCTCTGTACTTCTGCTTTCCAATCATAGCCTTTTCTTCAGTGTTTGGAGCAAATATTATCTTCATGAAGGATCACTGGATTTTCCCCTGTTGAATATGTGCTCCTTCATTTTTCATTGCATTTTGGTGGACATGTCTTATAGTGTCTCATATATACCTCTTTATATGTGTGTGGATGTTCTTCCCTTCCTATTTGATGATTAGCTCCTTCAGTATAGCTTGAACAAAAAGCATCACTTAGCTCTCCAAAGCTTGGGAATCCCTAGGGCAGCTAAGAAATTTAATGAGACCCATAGGCTGGGAGTCTGGGATGTATTAGGAAAGTCTTCAGAAAAATCTCCCTGTAGACAACTAGCTTTAATTATAATTGAGATTTAAATTCATTTCACTAATACGCACTCACTTTTGGTACTCGAGCTCAGGGTTGTAAATTTTATCATGGAACACCAGATTGAAATCGGCAAGAGAAGAAAGGGCTGGTAAATATTAGCAGGCCATTAAACCTGCTAGTAGATCTAACTGCTAAATCACCAGTTAGATCTACTTTATTATTATATTATTTTGATGAGTTGGGGTGTTGGGAGTCTTTTTGCAAGACTGCCTCAGGATTTGAGAAAAAGTCTATGAGCCAAAGACTAAAGATTTTCAATATATAGCAATGTGATAGCATCTTATAATTAGACATGGACCCTCTTCACCTTTAAAAATTTATCTAGAGTGACATCAGATGAATCTAAAGAAATAGAACCCATATTGTGTTGCCAGCCACAAACATAAATAGAGAGCACTTATTTTTAAAGCAAATTATGTCCAATTGTTGGTATAAACATTCTAGTTTTCAGACGTAATCAGAATGTTGCATTTTACTCCACGTATATGGTACTAAGACTTAACTATATAACTCAGGTGTTTTTTCATAGGTCATTTAAGAAGGCAACACACTTATTTAATAACATCTATAAGCCTGGAAAGCAACTTGCTTTCATCTGTAATAAACTGAAAGATGAATTAATATATATAGGAAGTCACAGTATTTTCAATCAAGCTCCTTTCAGCATAAGACATACACACAACTTTTGTGGCCCTTAGGTTAAAACCACTGAGAATTAGGAATCATTATGGAAATTACATTCAGTATGCACTGCTTTCCTACAATTCTCCATCCTTTATTATTCAGTTATTCTTCATTCTGAAAATCTCCACTTCAGAGATTTGTGAAATCCAGAAAGAAGAAGGAAAAAAAAATCTGGCAGTCACTTGTGAGAAATAGATCTTCAAAGCATGTCTATGACCTGGCAATATACTCTACCACAATTATATACAGGAAAGAAGACAGGAACATTCATTTACAAGTGCCATTATTTTTCCAAGTTTACAGATGTTTCATTTAGTCTACAAAATGTGCTTCTAATTTAGGAATACAAAAAAATTAGGAATTAATTTCTCTACGTATTTAGTTTTTATAACTTCATTAATTTTCTGCCTACAGAATATTCATAAAATCAAAAAAGTCAAATTTCCCTATAACTGCATATCCCCCACATAATGTATGTTATTTATCTATTATTTCTCTCCATATTGTAGTAGGGGTAACTGGAGCTCAGAAATGTCACTTGGCCCAGCCATGATTTAAATCAAGGCTTTTTATTACAAAATCCTTAATAGGTGTGTGTGTGTGTGTGTGTGTGTGTGTGTGTTTATTCCTTTTACATCGTATAAACACTTTATATTCTGTAGAAAAAGATGACTTCTTTTAGCTTGAAAACATTCTTTGTTCCCTACCTGATCATTTATTCATTTGTTCACCCATATATTCATTCTACCACTAATATAGTGAATATGATTAAGAATTAGAAAAAGAAATGACTTAGGAAGTGGAAAAAGGAGATAAAGTGGTTGAGAAAGAGGAGCAAAGTCACCTCAGTGAAGAGAAAGGGCTTACATTTCTTACAGAAGAAGGAGCTGAGTCTGGATTCAAACAGATTTCCATTCTAAACTCTCTGTTCTTCAGAACTGCGCAACATGCTTCTTACCTCTGATGAGCTCATTCAATCGATATATTTCCATGAAGATTTTCATTACTAAAATGTCTTCATTGCTCCTACCCTCTAGATTCACAAACCACTGGAGGGGGAAATCAATACTTGCTATATACACATTATCCTGAGTGTTAGATTCAAAAATAAATAAGATGAAATCCCTGATTTTTTCCAAGTCCAGTAAGGAGAACCCCTCCATGGTGCTTCTCTGTGAGGCTTTGCAGCAGCTTCTTCAGATTATAGAAAAGTTATAGTTGGCCTCATATTGAATATGCTTTCAACAGTATATAAGACTCCATCTAAAATTCAGATTGTCTTCCTGTCTATGTCCCTCTTCTTTGTTCCATCCCTGCATTCTTTTCATCTTTATTCCACAACGCTTGAACTAATTCTGGTTCTTCCAAAACAAGAACATGCAGGTGCCAATAGAAAAAGAAGAATCACTTGCATGGGAAACATTAGGAACAGTCTCATCCATCTCCTTTCTTCTTGATCCAGCAACGTTTCAGAAGCTTTGGCTGAGTTCCCTTGATTGCGCATAGTTTTCTGAATTATTTTAACTTTTTAATGTTTTATTTATTTCTGAGAGAGAGAGAGAGAGAGAGGAGAGAGAGAGAGAGTGAGCATGAGCAGAGGAGGGTGAGAGAGAAAGGGAGACACAGAATCCAAAGCAGGTTCCAGGCTCTGAGCTAGCTGTCAGCACAGAGTCTAACACGGGGCCCCAACCCACGAACTACGAGATCATGACCTGAGCTGAGGTCGGACGCCCAACCAACTGAGCCACCCAGGTGCCCCAGTTTTCTGAATTATTTTAAATTTGTGCTTATTGAGATGTTATTTTTACCAATTTGAGAATACATCACCAGCCTGAGAGAGATTACAGAAAATATTTCACTTTTGAGTCTGGGACAGCCTTGTCACAAATGAACACCTAATGTTGAATTCATCCCTAATACTTAGCTGTATTTTCCTTGAATACAAATCCATTTAACAAATATTTTTTGAGAGGCATAAGGTAGTAGAGACAGTAGAGTAATTAAATGAAGTAGCTCAGGGGTACAGACCTAGAGCTGCCACTTAACAACAACATAACTTTGGCCAAGTTCCTTAGCTTCTCTGAACCCCAATTTTCTCTTTGATAAAATGATGTTAATATACCTGCCTCAAGTGGTTGTCCTCAAGATTAGATAAAACAGTATTTGATAAGAGGCATCACTGATAGTTTTGTGTTAAGTACTAGTAGTGAATTATACTAATAATATATCACATTCTGTATTTGCCAGTAAGATCGTTATAGGGCTCTTGAAACTCAAAGAATCATATTCGGGGGCAAATGTTTACATGTTTGACATAACTGGCAAACAATAGGGAACTGATATGGACAAGTTATTCTGTGCTGTTAAATTCAGATCCCAGACAGTACTTCTGAAATGCTATTCCAGGTGGATATTTTCCTAACTTTACTTTATCATTACTGCTTTGTGATAATCCTAATGTAATATTCCTGCAGTGTATTATGTGTTAAGAAGGAGTCAGGATGAAGTGAGGGAAGAAGAGAAATGAAGAGTCTAAAAACTTTCTGAAGCCTCCTATATGCAAATAACTCAATGTGGTATT